TCTCATTTTGTATCAAAAACTAAAACTGATTAAGCTTAGTGAGGAAGACATGCTAAAAGCCAAGACAGGCAAAATGCTAGGCCTCTTGGGTCAGCCAAATAGTGAATGCAAAGGAAAAGTTACTGAGAGAAATTAAAAGTGCAACTCTAGTAAACACATGAATAAGAAAGTGAAACAGCCTTCTTGCTGAGAGAAAGTTTCAGTGGTCTGGTCCATACAGAAGATCAAACCAGCCACAACAATCCCTTAAGCCAAAGCCTAATCCAGAATAAAGCCCTGTCTTCAATTCTATGAAGACTGAGAAAGGTAAGGAAACTGCACAAGAAAAATTTAAGGCTAGCAGAAGTTAGTTCAGGAGGCTTAAGTAAAGAAGCCACCTCCATAACAAAAAATGCAAGGTGAAGCACTAAGTGTTGATATAAAACTTGCAGCAAGCTATCTAGAAGATTGACATATTTTTCTATGAAAAATGTGTCATGACTTTTCTGACGACCCAATAGTTGAGATAACTGATGAAAGTGGCTAAACAGATTTTCAATGTACATGCAACAGCCTTATATTGGAAGAAGATGCTGCTTTAGCTGAATGTGTCCCTTCAAAAGTCATGAGTTAAAACTTGGTTGTATGAACCAACCTGTGGTGTGGTGGTGAAGGCAGCTGGTTCAGGGTTCAGAACCACGCTTGGAAAACATACCACACACATGTGCATGCATGCCCAAAATCCCAAAAGGAAGGAGAGATGGAGAAGAGACTGTGGCAAGACCATTTCCCATGAGGTTGCTTTCTCACTTTCCTTCCATTTCTCTCTCTCTGTCTCTCTCCAATGAGTACACGTGCCCTCTGGGAAAATTAAAAAGACAAATTTTTTTTAAAATTTGGTTTTGAGGGATTAAAAGGGGGAAAACTTAATCTGATTATATCATGGAAAATGGGGAATTTGAGAAGTGATTAAGAACTAGGATGGGTTCCCCATGACTGGACAGGGTTTATGAGAAAACACATGGACAGACACATAGTCTGCTCTGCTCACACTCTGGCCATTGATGCCCTTCACTGCCTCAGGATCCTAACTACAGAAAGACTGTCACTGGATATATCCCCTTGACCTTACCACTCAAACAAGGAGCTAAATAAATCTCTATTCTTTTTTAGGTTTCTGCCATAGAACATGTGTGCTTGCCAGACAAAGACAGAGAGAGGGAAAGTGAGAAATCACCTCCCAAGGGGGATGACCACGCCATAATCCCTTCTCTTTCATTCTCCTCTCAGGATTTTGGGCACACGCCTGGCATGATTTTTCAAACTGCTAGGTATGAGACTTGAGCTGCAGTCAGCCACAGGGAGTTCAGCCCCTTCACCCACACCACCTGCTTGCCCCCTAAATCTCTATTCTTATTATAAATCAGTTTCAGGTATTCAGTTATTAAGCAACAGAATAGACTAAAATAGATGCCATCTACAACTTCCATAGCTAGAGATAAGTCAGTGCCTGACTTCAAAGCTTCAAAGGATAGGCTGAGGGGAGTGTGGCAGATGGTGATATAGCAGTAATACAATACTTCACAAGGATAACCCACATGGGAAGCTTCCATGTTCATGTCCAAAGAACTCTCTGCATGCTGGGTGTGTACATGCCCATGATCTGGGGCTGACTGAAGCTGGTGGTGGATCATAGCATGAAGACCTATGGAGGATTCTTGTCTCTCTCTCTCATAGAGAGAAAAACACTTTAAAAAGTAAATAAATAACAGGCTGACTTGCTCTGTTGTTAGGGGCTAGCATACTTATGAAACATCAAGTTGAAGCTAGTGTTCATTTACCATTATGAAAATCTTCAGACTCTTAAGAATGATGCTAAATCTACTCTGCCTATGCTCTATAAATGGAACAACAAAACATGGATGGCAGGGGCCAGCACATGGCATGGTGGTTAAGGACACTGGACTCTCACATGAGCGACCAAGGTTTGTGTCCCTGACTTGGCAGCTTGCTTTCTTGCTTTCCCTCCCTTTCTCTCTCACTCTGTCCCTCTCTGATCAAATTAAATACATAAATACATACATACATATGTACATACATACATTTAAATTATCTTTAAAAAAACATGGATGACAGAATATCTGTTCACAACATGGTTTACTTTGTACTCAGTATTTTCATGGTTTATATACTGAGTATCTTAATGTACTGTTGAGACCTACTGCTCAGAAAAAAAAATATTTTCACAATGTTACTGTTCATTGATAATGTATCTGATCATTACTAATCCAAGAGCTCTGATGGAAATATTCAAGGAGACTCAGTTGATTCTCATCTATTACTATCATTTCTTATTTTGGTGCTCAAATTGTCCCATGGAGTCCATTCAAGTTGACTCTGTCCTTTAGATACAGTCTCATCATTTTTGGAGCACTTTAATTTCTGGCACAATATGTTCCAAGCTTATTTTGTATTTACCAGCCCCAGCTTTGGAATCAGTCATTTTTCCAAGGAGTTGTGCAATCCTTTCAGTAGAAAACTGCATTTTGAAAATAATATCTGGCTGTTAGGTATGCTAATTATTAAGGGATCATTGTTTCATAGGTCCTTTCAGAGGAAAGTTAGGGAATATGCATACACACACATGCACATGTACACAGATATGCTTACATCTATATTTATTTCTATATCCATCAATACATATTTAAAAACCAAGAGTTCACAACAATACCTCCAATTTCATCCTCACACCATAAGGGAGGTCTTTTATGGACCTCCCTTTTCTGACTGAGTATCCTGAGTCCCATTATCATCAATATTTATACTTATTTCATCAATTTCTCTCTATGTAACCAGTCTCCTGTCACCATATCCAAATACCAAATAAGTATCATCCTTATCTCATGAGTTCTAACTTCTTACTCTAATTGCCACTTCTACCACTACTCCGTACCACCCTTCCTTCAAATACCCTCCCTCTGCTCAGGTTCTATTATCTTCCACTAGGTTGTTGACACTGCTCCTCCCAAACAAGTGTACTCACCTATTCCCTGGAAACCCACTCAGACTTTAATACCCTTCACATAGCACAAGAATGCCCTCTCTTTTTTTGGAGAGGTTTTTGCTATAGGGTGCGTGCACTCGCCAGACACAGAGACAGAGAGACAGAAAGCGAGAAATCCCCCCCCCAGGGGGAATGGCCACGCTGCAAACCCTTCTCCTCCGTTCTCCTCTCGGGATCTTGGGCACACACGCACACGCACCCGGCCTGAGTTTTAAGCCACCGGGTCTAGGACGCGAACTGCAGTCAACTACGTGGGAGCCCAGCGACAGCCATTACGCTAACTGCTGGTCCCAAGAATGCCCTCTTCACTCTGTATTCCTTTGAACCATACTAAACAGTTACCATTGCTTTCATTTCCATGCCATTCTTCAAAATGCATGCCCTACTTACTCTGCCTGGGATCCAGGACCCCACACCAAACTCTGCTATCCACAGTCTTTATGGCAATGGGCTCACTTTAATCAGCTCATGCAGAGTCTTTCAGTGAAAAAGTTCGAGTTTTTTTTAACATAGTGGATTTTAAACCAAGTTGTGGAAAATCAGATACAAGGAAGGAAACAGAATGGCAAAAATAACCTGATACCAGATCAATGCTCAAAAAGTATAAATTCTTTTCTTCCTTCCTACTCAGGACCTCAAATTTATACTATTATTCCTAGTTCAACTATATTTTGATCATTTAACACTATTTCTATGAGAAAATGCATTTCAAGTTGTGTCTTAGTTAATTATTATGTTGCTTACAGAAATACCTGAAGCTGAGTGAATTTAAGTAAAAAAGTTTATTGACTCAGAATTCTGGTAGATGGAAAGCCCAAAAGCATAGGCTGGCATACATTGCCGCTTTAATGACGATGCTGACAAGGTCTTCTCCAGAACACTTTATTTCCCCAGGCTTCTTACAATCTTCTTCTCCCTTTTCCCCAACCCCCGGGGCCTTATATAGGGCCCCCAGCCAATCGTTCATTGTCCACGTGCACGGAAACTAATCTTCGGATGAGGATTGGTTGCATGTACTGTTCCCGTGGTGATCATGTGCATACCACGGTCACCGCTATGCCCACTTCCGTATAGTTGTTTACTTAAGTAAGGCCTCGAGGATTTCCACTAGGCGCCATCTTTGGTGCCACGAGGGGAGAGGTCTTTTAGGGGCGCCTTACAATACATGACCAATAGAAGCAGTGAGGTTGACAGGAGCACACAGGGAAACCTGCAGGAAATCTCTCTTTTATAACAACTTGATCTCACAAGAACTCTTTTTCACGAGAACTAGAACTCACTGGGTTTCATGAGACATCATTAATCTATTCATGAGAGGGCTGCCTCCATGATTGAATCACTACTCTACTCACCTCTCACACACTCCATCACACTGGGGATCAAATTCAAAGACAGGGACAAACCATTATCCAAACCATAACAAGTTATAAACTAATGTAAAGACAAATGTTTTGAAAACTGTACTTAGTTACTTAATCTTCATTAAAACTTTAACCTAAAAGAATTCAAAGTAGTTCAAAATCATTTTATAAGTGGCAGATTATTTCAACTAAGTAAAGCAAGGAAAGACATACCCACATAGGAAATGATTTTGGAAAATATAAAAAATAAATTCTAAAGGCACATACTTAAAACATACTTACATTCACATGATATTTGAGGTAATAATGAATAATCCAGGCTGGTATAAGCACATGAGTAAAAGCAAAGATACTGTGTCCATATGCTTTATAGACCTAGAAGAAAAAAACACAAAAAACAGATAGCCCATTTTTACATTTGCAGCAGAAAAAGAAAAGCATCAGTGATTTAACAAGGTCATGATTACTTTATAAATCTCTAAATACTTCTTTATAGTTTATAGCTAATCTCACCTACTCAAATATTTCTACTAAACGTAGGGTCTGCTAAAGACAGAGTCCAGGGCCAGTAAGTTTTAAGTCAGTGGTATTTGGCAAGACTATAGTAAGGTATTTACAGATACATTTAAAAAAAAAGATTTACAAAAATATTCTTATTATAATATTCATAAATACATAAAACATGGCATGAACAGTGAAAGAATAATTTAAATGAATTTAACTAGTGTAATAAAACCTACAGGCTTTTTCAGGTGCAGACATCTCCCTAATTTATCAATTTCAGACACTAAAAATTAGATGCCTGCTTCATTCAAGGTGTAAAGTAGACCACCTGGAGCACACCAGTGCTGGGAAAAAGTATTTTACATACTGAGATAACAGTGTTCTAAGCTCAGTCTGTGACGTCTTCTGACACACTATTTCTTTTTTTTTGGAGAGGTTTTTGCTATAGGGCGCATGCGCTCACCAGAGAGACAGAAAATGAGAAACCCCCCCCCAGGGGGCCAGCCACAATCTCTTCTCTTCCATTCTCCTCTTGGGATCTTGGGCACGCACACACAAGCCCCTGGTGTGAGTTTAAGCCACCAGGTCCAGGACTCAAACCATAGTTGACTAAATGGGAGTCCAGCAACATAGCCATTATTCCATCTGCTGGTCCCTGACACACTATTTTAAGAGAAAGACAAAAAAGAACTAAAAGTGGAACTTCCGTTCAGTTAATTTGACTGAAATATATCTATCCTTTCAGGGAAAGAATAATCCAAAGTCCAAGTATTATCACAGCTATGATTATATAAGAAAAAACTAACTCAAAGTAAAGTAAAATGGATTTTAACTAATGATTATTTCCCTAGATCACTAGCAGTCGGTGGGAATTTCAACTTTCAACAATGACTGCCACAAGCAGCAGATGATGTCATGGATACAAACAGTGAGTGAAGGGTTGAATTAAGAGAGCTGAATTTTACAAACATAAATAGGTATCTAATACCATCTTTACAGAAAAATGTGTACCAATTCTGTTGCACTAGGTTTTGCAGCACAATAAGAAAGGAGATTCAGTGCCAGAGGATGATGTGGTAGCTAAGGCACTAGACTCCCTCGTAACTGAAAGTCCCAGACCTGACAGCTTGCTCTCTCTCTCTCATGAGCACCCGTGCCCTACAGCACTAGACTCCCTCATGGCTGACCACACTTCAAGTCCCAGACCTGACAGGTTTCTCTCTCTCTCTCTCTGGTGGAGCACCCGTGGCCCTACAGCAACTTACTGGGTTGTTGGGAAAGTCATGACACATCTTTGCATAGAAAAACAACCTAATAAAAATAATAAACAAAATTTAAAAACAGTGTTTTTAAAAGTAGATTCATGTAGATTTTAACATAAACTACTCCAATTCTGAGCTCCATGTAGGTAAGTAACTGAATTTTTGTAAGCCTGCTTCCTTACATTGAACATGAGGATTGGGAATGGCTTCTACCTCTACAGGAGTAAAGAAGTCACACATGTAAAACTCCCAGCAGGTTGCCAGGCCTACAGCAAGCACCCAAACACTACTTATTATAGTGTTATTACTATCATTGTTAGCCAATGCTGTAGGTAACTGAAAGTAATTCTGAGATAAAGTGTTCTTCACCTATAATTGGTGTGATATAATTAACACACTTCAAACAGTATTCAGATAGCCAAGCCATGTCAGAGACCTTGCTTCACAGGAAGAGACCACTCAAAATTCTTGATTTGATTCCCACCAAGCTGAAGGCTAGGAAAGGAGGGTGCCTGAAAAAAATCCAGCTACTCAGGAGACTAGGCAGGAAGATCATGAGGTCTCAGCTGCCAGAGTAAGATAGTGAGAACCTGTTTAAAACAAAAGCATATGTGGTACAGCAAGCTTGTATTCTCAGCTGAGCAGGAGGACCCCAATAGCCAGATCCTGTCAAAACAAAACAAAATACTCAGAGGTCCTGAAAATGAAGGCCATCCTAGAATGAGTGATTTTTATGCAGTCTACAAATGTCTTCTTTTTTAATAAGATGGTGTATTAAAAGTACATAATGGTTTAGAAAGGTAGCTCTTGACTACAACTCATTAAGCATACTTAAAGATTTTGTCCGCTATGGTGATCACAGAAGAATTATCCTACCAGCCAGGGGCTCACTGGGCACTCCAGTAGTTGGGAGCAGTATTAGTCTCTAGAACCTCAACTTTAAAAGTTACATAGTATCTTCAAATACTAAACTCAGAATTGTACAGTCCAAAGGACCAACTCTGCTAGGTCCTACCTAAGATTCGTCTCCCTCTCACACTTGACAGACAGTGGCATCATTCTCCCAAAGGCATACAAGCTCCTGGACTCCCAGCTCAGGAGCGTCCAGAACGTTATCAGTACTTGGTGTGGTTGCAATGAGCAGACGACTAGTGGCTGGGTCGGGGTCGCGGTGGGGTGTCTAAATGGGGACGGAGGAGGTCCATCACTCACCATGTTCCTCCACGGGGTCCTGTTTTGCAAAAACTTATTCCAGAATTCCTCCAAAGGCCACAGCCTCTGCGGGGGAAGCACCGGCTCCCGAGGGCTCAGCTCTTGGTCTTTCAGCCATCTCCTCCTAAGCTCCCGCAGCTGCTGCAGCCGAAGTTTCTCATCCGGAGTGTACCCCGACATGTCGACGCTGGTCCCAAGGTTAAAGGACACGGCGCGCTCCCGAATCAGAGTCTTGTCAGTCACGCGCGCTCCCGCTCCGCAAATCGACCTTCCGAGGACGCCTGGGAGCGGCGCGCAGTTATGACATCACACACTAATCTTGCCTCTGCAGCGTCTTCACATTCCTCGCGAGGAAAGCAGAGTTCGCGCATGCGCAAAGCACTCTGACCGGTTAGTGGGCTGCCGGTCGAGAACCGTAGGGATTAGAAGTTTAGTTGTGGGATAAAGTGATGACGCGACAAATGCGAACGTATAGGAGACCAGAGTTTCTGATAAAGGAAAAGAATGTATGTACTGAGAGCCAGAGAAATAAGTATATGTGTTTTAGCAGATGTGAAGTCCAGACACAAAATTGTTGGCTCGCCTCTGGCACCTTGAAATTCCTCTTCCCATAACCTAAAGGTTGTGAAGATAGCTACATCTTAGCTATGTTAGGGACTGGTGACATGAACTAGAACTGTGGTCTCAGTCTGTTCCTCCATCTACCAACACGGAAGGAAAAGGAGTAGGTCAAGGCCAGCCAGGTGGCGGTGGTTTAGGCAGCTGGTTCCCACACGGCCGATTGTCCTGGACCTGGTGGCTTGGAAAATACATGGGCACGTGTTAGGGCATGCGTGTCCAAAATCAGAAGAGAATGGAGAAGGGATTGCAAGGTGGCCATTCCCACAGGGGTCAACATCTAGCAAGATTACATGGAGATATTTCATTCTTTGTCCCAGCAATCACAAGTAGGGCTCTATCCCAAAGACACCGTGGTTAAAGATAAGAAAAAGTGCGTAACTATTCATCACAGCATGACTTTTAATAGCCACACGCTGGAAATTACCCCATAATTCCTTAATAGAGACAGATTGAATAAATTATGGCACAGCAAAGCAATGGAGTATTAATGCAGTTACAAGTAATAAGAAATAGCTTTGTGTACAGTTGTGGCATAATCTTCAGAATATATTAGTAAGTGAAAAAACAATGTGGAAAGGAGTGTATAAATAGTATACAACCTTTGATCATGAAGAATGGGTGGTGGTAATACTAAATGTACATACATATTTGCTTAAATTTTTAAAATAATGGATATAAAAATTATTTTATGTAAAAAAAATCTTAGGTATATGGAGAGGAAAGGAGTAGGATAGAGGAGACTTCTGAATATATCTTATTTCATAAATTTGACCTTAAAACTGAGTAAAATATTTCACATCATTATAAAACAAGATTAAATTTACAAAATATAGTCCCTAAAAATCAAAAGTATAATGTATACATCTAACTGATCTATTCAGTGGCATAATGTCAAAGACACACTTAATTCCAAATAACTTTAAACCATCAATCAAATAAAAATACAATTTGCAATTCTTTTGGACTCAAAAGTCAGAAGAATTGCAAATAAAGTTCCATCTTAAACTGTTTTAAGTAACCATATTGTTGGTAGTGGTGGTGGTATTGTTAATTTGACTAAAAATAAATGTTTGTTACTTTTGTAAAGAACTGATATTTTTGGTTTGGGAGTAAGGAGATATGTGTATGAGGGAACATCAAAGTTTGCCAAAAGTGGAATTAAAGCATGAGGTTATTTTGGTGCAAAATGTTTTGAAATCTGTGCATAGTTTTTTCATAGTACACATTTATCATGAACTTTTAAAAGATCTCTCATACAAATAGTATGAGATTAAGCAAAAACTCTGTGTTCTGAATTTTGAATAGGAAGAATCAGTGTGAATTTATGATGTATTTTATATTTATAAATATATATAATTTTTCTTAGCTCTGACCATTGACTATTGCCCAAAGTAAATGGCCAGCCCAGTAACCAAAAGCATTGCTAATTCCTACACTATAGTTTCTATAACAAAAGTTTTCATTGCAAGGAACCAGACTCTTTGAAGCAGCCATTCTTAAATGTTTTGTTCCCAAGACCTCTTTAAAATTTTAAAAATTGTTGAGGGCCCAAAGAGGTTTTGTTTATGTGAGCAATGTGTATTGATGTTTACTGAATTCAAATTAAAGCATTTTAAGATAATGTACTCATTAACAAAAAATGTTTAACATAAAAAATGTTACATTTTTGTAAATGTCTTTAATATTTTTCTTAATGAACAATGGCATAATTCTTACAACTGCTTCTGTATTCAGTCATAATAACACATATCATGTAGCCTATGGAAAACTCCATGTATATTTGAGGAAAATTAAAGATAAAAAAGGAAAACTAGTGAAAGGTTCCTGCCGATAACCAGCCGATCCTCCTTGTCCAGGGAGTGCTACGGCGACCCCAATCAACCACAAAAGTCGGTTCTTGATGCAAAGTACAAGAGGCTTTATTGCTAGCGTGCTAGGACTCCACTCTCCGTCATGCAAGACACGGTAGCGAGTGAAGCCCCAAACAAAGGGGCATTCAGGTTATATAGACATCGGTGGGGTGAGGGGAGGAAAGAATGAGGAAGTAAGATAAGGGACCTGACTTCTTGCATGGAGCTGAGCTGTCCTGCAAGGAGCTGAGCAAGTCCTTGGGGTTTGTATAACTCAGGGTTTTTATCATAAAGGCGGCATCAGCTTAGTACAGAAGAGAAAAGGCAAAAGTTAAATGTTATCTTTACAGAGCTTAAACAGGCACAGTTGGATTTTATTCTTACACTAGTACCTTAGTTTTTCATTAAAATGATCTTGACCTCACAACCCCATAAAAGGATCAGAGGGACTCCGAAGGCCATACTTTGAGAACTATTGTTGTAGAGAAGAAACTAAAGTGGTTAATTCCAGGTCTAGGTTAAGAAATGTAAAGAAAGACTAGGATATCTTGTCATATTGGAAGAAAGAAAAGTTTTTAAAGACCAGTAGAGCTGTAGCAAAAGGATTTAGGAGCCATCCAGAATGAGCGCCCAACAACCGGAGGTGGAATATTTTAAGCTTCAGTAATAAGTATAATGACTTTAGTGGATTGAAAAAATGTTAAATATGTTGGGACCAGCAGTTAGCATAATGGCTATGTCGCTGGACTCCCACGTAGTTGACCATGGTTCGAGTTCCAGACCCAGTGGCTTAAACTCACGTCGGGCGTGTGTGTGTGTGTGCCCAAGATCCCAAGAGGAGAACGGAGGAGAAAGGATTGCGGCGTGGCCATCCCCTCTGGGGGGTGGTTTCTCGCTTTCTGTCTCTCTGTCTCTCTCTGTCTATCTGGCAAGTGCACATGCCCTATAGCAAAAAAACCTCTCCAAAAAAAGAAAAAAGAAAGTTAAATGTGTTCACATGCATGAATTCAAAGTGTTTTGTTTTTGTTTTTGTTTTTGTTTTTAGATTTTTCCCATAGGGCACACGTACTTCCTGGAAAGAGAGAAGCAGAGTGTTGGAAAGTGAAAAATAAATCAGGGGGATGGCCATGAGGCAATCTTTTCTCCTCCATTCAGGATTTGGAGTATGCATGCACATGTGCCTTGCATGTTTTTCAAGCTGCTGGGTCTGGTATTCAAACTGTTGCAGTCAACCATGTAGTATCCAACACCTTAACCACCAGCCACCTGCTGGCCCTCAAAGTGATTTTTAAACAAGTCACTTGTTACCTGTGTGTGTTGCTTCAGAACAAAATCTTTATTTTGAAATCTGGTAAGAAAAATAAACAATTGTCTGTGCTCTATATGAATTGCATCTTACAGTATCAGAATAGTTGATGAGGTAAAATTTCTTCAGAGAAGAAAAAAAATTAAAATTAAAAAAAAAGGAAGGCATGCCACTATAGAACTGTCACTATTTTGATCCTCATTTATCTATCTGTAGCTGCAGACATCTCAAGAAGAGAGCAACTTCGCCCCCTGGTGGATAGCTGCCTCAACTGCCTATCAAGTAGCACTGTCAAAAAAAATTAAACAGTCTGATCCAGTTTCTAGATCTAACAACTCAGTTAAGGGGGGGGGGGGGGGGGGGGAAAAACACAGTTAAGGGGGGGGGGGGGAGGAGAGCAGAAGAAATCCGTATACAACACCAAAGTGGTACACTTAAATAAATTCCATACACAACACCAAAGTGGTACACTTAAATAAATTCAAGTTGTTAAAACTGAAGATTAATTGCTCAGTTTCTTTCTTTTCTTTTCTTTTTTTTTTTTGCACTCTCCAGAAAGACAAAAAGAGACAGATAGAAAGCAAGATATCACCCCCCACAAAGGGAGGATGACCACACCGTAACCCATTCTCCGTTCTCCGTTCTCCTCTTGGGATCTTGGGTACACAAGCACCCAGCATGAGTTTAAGCTGCTGCGTCTGGGACTTGAACTGCAGTCGATGTGAGTGTTCAGTGATGTAACCATTACTCCATCTGCTGGTTCCAATTGTTTAGTTTCTTAAGCAAACATTTATTGACCGGGTAAAAGGAAACGAGAGGAGATCGATTAAGAGAGACAAAAGAGGTTTGAACAGTATCTTGCTATTATGATATTAAGGAATTGCTGTTAATTTTTTTGTATATGATAATATTGTGGCTATTTGTGTTAAATAGAAGGTCTGGTCTTTCTGAAATACTTTCTGAAATAATATAGTTGAAAGGATATGACACCTGCAGTTTACTTCTAAATAACTGGAGTGGGAGGAAGGATGTGTGGAGTAAATAAGATAAATAATGAGTTGGCAACTGTTGAAGCTGTCTGAAAGGTAAATGGGGGCTCATTATCTTCTCATACACTATTTTGTAAATTTTTCCAAATACGTTTTTAAAAATCTATGCTTTGAAGTAGTAAGTAAACTGTGTATTTAAACTGTTCTTTTTTTTTTTTTTTTTTTTTTTGGAGAGGTTTTCACTATAGGGCGTGTGTACTCACCAGACAGACAGAGAGAGACATAGAGACAGAAAGCGAGAAATCACCCCCCAGAGGGGATGGTCACGCCGCAATCCCTTCTCCTCCATTCTCCTCTCAGGATCTTGGACATGCATGCACACGCGCCTAGCGTGAGTTTTAAGCCACCGGGTCCAGGACATGAACCGTGGTCGACTACTTGGGAGTCCAGTGACATAACCATTACGCTAACTGCTAGTTCCCTATTTAAACTGTTCTTAATCCCCATTTGGCCTTTGAAAAGCTACTTTTCG